CAGTCTTCTCAGTCAAATAACACTGCTTGACTCATTTAGCAAGTATTTATCACCTTCACCTGCCTGCTTTGGATGCATCACCACCATAAGAGAACAAAAAGGATGCAAAGCAACAATGGCCAAGGCACTTAACATATCTTAATGATACCCTACTCCTTACTATTTGTATTCCCATTTTACAAAGGAGGAAACTGAGGCCAGGAGAGGTAAAGATCTTTGCCCAAGGTCACATAGGACTGTCTGGCTCCAGAGTCCACACCATAACCACCATGCTAGGTTGTCTCCAGAATCTCCTAAAGTAGCATACTCTTGATTCTAGAGCCAGGCGTCAGTCTTGAATCCTTACCTTTTGTTCAACCCTGGTGAATTATATAGAATGACCCAGAAGGAAACATACTTTGCTTCTAGCTCTCCCTGGAAGCCCTGATCCAAAAAACTAACAAGCCACAAGCCTCCTGCTTCTTCCTTTCAGTGTCGTACTCTCAGGCTCTGGTGTCAGGGAGCCCTGCTCTGTCTTGGCCCTGGCACCAGCCAGCACCAGCCCTAGATCTGGCCCAAACCAGCTCCCCAAAGGATCTCTTCACCCCTTCTATTTATCTATTACTTACAACCCTCAGGCCTCTAAACAGCATGCACCCACACCACCCCTTCCTAGCCTGGGGACAAAAGTGGGGCAGAGCAAGAGAAGGCAATGGAAGGCATGAGCCTGGTCTTCCTAGACTGCTATCAATAATGGTTTCCACCGCACAGAGGATTTTCATTCCAATATCTCCACTGTAAGTCTTCAATGGTTCTTTCTTCACCTATCCTGGAGGACGTTGGAATTAGAGAGAATGAAAGAACAACAGTGATCCTTCGAGAACAGCTGAGGTTTTAAAACACTTAGGAGTACCTATATTCTTAAAAGAAAAATAAGTACAAGAAAAACAATCTATAATAAGTTAGAAAGATTTTAAATTTCTGAGATAGAAGAGTTCCAGGTGGTTTACAAAGCAGGGTTGATCATAGGAGTAGGTTGCTATAGTGTAGAAATGGGAGCCATCAGGAACCACAGGGCTGGGTGACTTATCCTCATGCACAATGAAACATCCAGGTCAATGGACAGAGCTGGGATGGAAGGTCTTTCATGAGACAAACCTCAAGGTTCTCTGCGTTCAGAGGAGTCCCCTTGAGTTCAGTACATGACAACCATTGGACAGGTAGAGGAAAGGTGTATATGTAGATGTGTCCATCTCAACAGGAAAGATTATGGGGGGGTGGAAGAGGCTATGCTAAACCAAGGAAATGCTGCCTCCACTTCTCCCTAAAATAAAGGGAATGGAAGGAATGAGAAGAACACATGCAACTAGCTTCCTCCAGAAAGCATTTCAAGGTAAGTCATGTCAAAGCCATGTATCTAACCTGAGCCCATTGTTTGAGGAGGTAGAAAGCCTAGATTCTCCCAGCTGGTTTAATTCTACAAACCCCATCAAACTCAACAAGCACATGTTTATACATCACTAACAATATCTCTTATCACTTCATGTGCATAATATAATTCCAGCCTGTGGGTAGTTTAATTAGGGAAAGACAACTACTGGCATATAGCACAGGGTAAAAGACTTTGCCACCAAGTATAGAAGGAAAACTGCACACATTAATAAAAATAAAACCTTTCCTCTTTCTGTGGTAGAACTCATTTGGTTAGAGCTCCCTGAGGCATAGGGAAGAAACATGCAGTGGCAAAAGAGGGAGGTGAAATGGCATGGGACAGAGAAGTGAAAACAAAATGGGAAGGTGTTATCAAAGGAGAAAACAACAGAACTGGAATGACCAAGCATTGCTCATGATAGCTCAACCTCACCGCAGCACAGACATGTTAAGCATTTGCCTGGCAGTTATTGGAAAGCCCATGGACAGCCAAACATAAAATGATGGTCCTATTTTATTGGATTAGTTGGTAACACATATTTTTAGCTCTTAGACAAACATTTCTGTGCAATTTAGGTCTGAGAACCAGGGTTCAAGTTTTGGAATTTTAGGGAAACAACTTCCCCCCAATGTGTTGGTGGAGGTGGCAGCTGCCAAGGGAAGCACCACAGTCAGGGCTATCCTGCCTTCCTTGGGCAGCAGTGCACAGAGTAAGCAATGTTCCTGACCTCAGGAATTCTCAAAAGTCTTTAAGAGATGAATGTGCAATAGGACACTCCAAGAGGGAGGTACAGTAGGTGACATGTCACAAATATATTTAACCATTGAACTCCTTTATTTTTCATGCCAATCTATTAACATATACAATAGTGTTCTGTTGAAACTGGTTTGAAAAACAATAAGCTCATGATGATTGATTTTATGTATTGACTTGGCTGGCCACAGTGTCCAAATATTTAGTCAAACATTACTCTGGATGTTTTTATGAGGATGTATGGAAGAGACTTGCATTTAAATCAGTAGACTTTGAGTAAAACAGATTGCCCTCCTAGTGAAGGTGGGCCTCATCCAATCAGCTGAAGACCTGGATAGAACAAAAGGCTGACCTCCCCTGGGCAAGAAGGAATTCTGCCAGTAGACTGCCCTTTAGACTTCACCTGCAGTGCTGGCTCTTTCTGGCTTGGCCAGCAGGCTGCCTTTACATCCGAACTGCAACCTTTCCCTGAGTCTCCAGTTTGCCAACCTTGCCCCCCAGATTTTCAACTCACAAAGCCTCCACAATCACATGATCCAATTTCTTAAAATGAATCTATATTTAATTTCTGTATCTATACTTCCTATTGGTTCCGTTTCTCTGGAGAACCCTGACTCACATACTAAATTACTGTAAATTTGGAAAATAGAATGGAGTCTATTCCCAGGTAGTCAGATTAACTGTTATTCATGGCACAAAGAGCAAGAGGAACATACATATTTCTAGTGCACCATACAAACAGATTTTGAGATAAAGGGCATCTAAAAACCCAGGCACTATGACCAAATATGAAACATGTCAGAACAAAGTGAATCTTAAAAGGAAAAGCACTGATATAAGAACTAAGGGACCAAAACATCAGATGAAAAAATCCTGGACTCTTACTGAGGTCTTATCTAAGGCAAGCCAGACAGACCTAAAGCTTTTATCTGACATGCAGGCAGAGCCTTCAACTCTGGCGTATGCATTCATGCTCCAAAAGCAAAGCCACAGAAGGAGGGAAGTGGAGTCACAGGCTTCTGCATGATAAAGACACAGCCAGAGAAAAACTGAAGAAAAGCCAAAGCATAGAATCAGTGAGGTCTGGGCGGGAAAGGCCCAAGACAAGGTCCCAGGGTCCTTACTGATCTCACCCAGCATGAGGCAAAGAGCCAGGAGCAAGTCATCCCACCCTTCTGGGCAAAGGCTTCACATTCTTCTCACACATGCTAGTTTGAAGCCTCTAGAGTTATTGGAGCTTCTATTAACAAATTCTAAGCATCCACACCACAATGCACCTTAGCTGTGCTTATGGTCCACCTATTACCTGACACGCTGTATTTATTTGATTTCAATACTATGTGGTCTCCTAAACAGAATTTGATGTTTATAATAAAAACACAAGGGCATATATTTAAAAAGAGTGAAAGACAAAAGTCAACAAATAAGAAAGAGAAGATTATATTCTGTTTTAAGAGAAAAGCCAAAGAAAGAATAGCTAGATTTGAAATTCAATTCAATAAGCATTTACTATAGACTTCTCTCCAAGTCTAATTTCTACACCAGCATCACACAGAAGTTAGGAAGGCTGCTATTTATCTGCTCTGACGTTGGGCCCAGTTACTTAACTCTGTGACTCTATTTCTCTATCTATAAAATGGAGGTAACAGGGGGAAAAATAAAACTTTCCCAGAAATTAGCACAACTTCAAACTACTGCCTATTTCTTCCATTCCTAACCTAGTGAAAATTCCTGAAAGAAAAGTCTGAGAGAGGGCCAACATTTATTGTGCACCTACTATATGTTAGCACCTCACAAACGAGCCCATTTAATCACCAAAGCTTGTGAGAAAACTTTTTTTTAAAAGGATTTATTTATTTTTGAGAGGGGGCACAAGTGGGAGGGGCAGGGGAAGGAGAGAAAATCTCAAACAGACTCCCTGCTGAGTACAGAGATGCGGGGCTCAATCTCACAACCCTGAGATCAGGATCTGAGCTGAAACCAAGAGTTGGTCGCTCAATGGACTGTGCCACCCAGGGGCCCTAGAAAACATTTTTATCAATTACAGATGAAATGAAGTCTTAGAGATCCTAGAACTTAGATCAGAAGCTGCAAGTGACCTAAAATCTACTCTCTTGTGAAGCATAGCATGGAGTGATGCTCCATAGAGCAGGATCCCCAGGTCAACCTGCCTTAAAATCACTCAAAATGCTTGTTCCTAGATTCTCAGAGACCTACTTAATTTCATTCTCTTGATAGTAGCAGAATTTCATTTCTTGATAGTAGTGGTTTTAATAGGCCACCCATTGCCATGATTCTTCTGCACACTCAAGAGCCATTGGTTTATTGGTCAGGAGCATGGACTCTGAAATCAGGCCTGGTCCTGGTTTTGCTCTGTTATAGATATGTGATCTTGGGCATCTTACTTAACCTTTCTGAGGTTTTTTTACCTTATCCAAAACATGGAGATAATACAGGATCATAAGTTTACTGCAATGAGGGGCACCCGGGTGGCTGTTAGTTAAGCAACTGCCTTCAGCTCAGGTTGTGATCCTGGGGTTCTGGGATCAAGCCCTGTGTCAGGATCCCTGCTCAGCGGGGAGTCTGCTTCTCCCTCTCTCTCTGCCCGCCCCCCCCTTTGTGCTCGTTCTCTCTTTCTCTCCCCCCCCAAATAAATAAATACTGCAATGATTAAATAAATGCTTAGTGCCAAGTTCAAGGTTTGGAACATGGTGATTATTATTTCCTCCACATAACATTAACTTGATTTCCTTTCTGCTTCCTCATTCAACTTTGGGATTCACTAGCTTTGTTTTCTTCCCCATCATTTAACTGAAAGAAACCAAGTGAACATTACCAGTGGCCTCTCGCTAAATGCAGTGACCTCTTTTTCAATCTCACGCAGCTCTGAATCCATTTTGTCCATCACTTATTCATTAAAACTGTATTGTGCATCGGTTCTGGTCCAGACATTGGGCCAGGTAGAAGGTATACAATGATGAATACAGCAGGTGCAGTATCTACCCTCACAGACTTTTAAGCCTATGCTAGGAACACTGATTTCAATAAGTAATCATATGGTGCTATAAAAGAACAGCTTGTCCTAAAAGAAAATGACAGAAAGGACATTTTGTCAAAGAGGGTCAGGGAAGGTCTGAAACCTGAGAAGGAGCCAGATATGAAAATAATAGTTCTCAGGGTGCCAGGGTGGCTCAGTCAGTTAAGCATCCAACTCTTGATTTCAGCTCAGGTCATGATCTCAGGGTCCTGAGATGGAGCCCCATGTTCGGCTCTGCACTAGGCGTGGAGTCTACTTAAGATTCTCTTTCTCCCTCTCCCTCTCCCTCTGCCCCTCCTTCCTGCGTGCTCTCTCTCTAAAACCAAATAAATAAATAAATAAAAATTCTCACAGAAGGAACAGCAGCATGTGGGAAGACCCTGAGGTAGAAAATGAGCTTGTCGCAGTGCAGGAAGTAAGAGAACATCCATGTGGCTGGACAAGAGGAAGGGCGAAAGGAAATAAACTGGGAGAACAGGCATGGGCTCAGCCATGCAGAGCCCTGTAAACCGTCATGAAGGTTTGTACTAATCCCTAGGGCAACCTGGGGCCACTGGAAGACTTTGAGCCAGAGGATAATATAATCACTGTGGCTGTGAAGTGGATGGATTAGACGGGGGACAGAAGAGAAGATGAAAGTACAGTTGGTTTGGATAGTTTGGATTTGGGTGCTAAAAGTGGAGGTGGACACACAAATGGGAGAATTTAAGATAAATTTCCAGTGGAAAATTGAGAAAATCTGGAGATGAACTGAAGGTAGAAAACAAAAAAAGAAGAGGTGTCATGAACTATTCTGAAGCTCAAAGTTGAGCAACTAGCAGAATAGTAGAGCCATTTACCAAGAAGAGGCATGAAGTGTCCCCCTGGGGGAAGTGCCAAGATCTGTACATTTGTAGAAATCTCCCTCGTGATTCTGATGGCTAGCCCTTGTTGAGAAGAGGCAACCTAGAGAGGCTGTATAAAGAATAGTAGTCAAGTTTAATGGCTAACCATCATATCTTTCTTTGGAGGTGCTTTGCCTTGTTCAAGTCTTATCACTTCCCTGCTATATTACTGGGCAAGTTGGTTTCTTCATCTATAAAATGAAAATAATAATAGAACCTGCCTCATAGGTGCCATAAAATGGTCATCTTAAAAAACATTTGGAACACTTTCAAGCTACCATTTTTAGATCAGTTGAATAAACCCAGTGTTTTCACATCTCTAAGGTCTTGCCCTGCCCTTTGCTTGATGGATTCATCTCTTTTTCCATGTGATGATTTCCTATATTCTTCATGGATAGCTTTCCTTGATTACTCCTCCTACCGCCACTGACCCCAGCCAATCATCTAGGCCATTTCTCCTGCTTGCATGATCGCAGAACTTAACACATCATATTAGAGTTATACTTATTTGTTTTCTGAAAAAGACTTAGGACTCCTGGAAGTAGCTGGCCTTATCTTATACAAATTTATACCCACAGAAATTAGTCCGATGTCATGGCTCGAAGCCCAGAATGAGTTTGTTGGATTTAAATGAATTTAGCTAAATTAAAAGCAGGATACTCTTAGGGAATGCATCTCACAAACTAAGTCTCTTGTTTAATTATACGGTATCATATGGATGCAGACACAGCAAGTTACACCCCAGGGATATAAAAAATTCACCCTAACTGTCTATTTAGGCCCAACTTTAAGCCTAAACCAGTCATGCCAAACATAACACCTTTCTTATCTACCTCTCACCTCTGCTTTGTTCTTCCTGAGCAATGTGGGGCCCATGTCTTTCTGTGGAACAGAAGAAGGGGGAAGGGGGGTGTGGAGGAAGACACACTCCTACAACTTTACAAAACTTTCCTTCACCCCTTAATGAGGGAAAGAAGGTAGAGACAGAGCTGCTACTGCATGTGCCGGAACAAGCATGCTCAGGCTGGTTTGAGTCCCTTCTTACCATGTGGTCTGATGTAAAGAGTCCAGATATCAGTAGGCAGATACCAATATTAATACTGTACCAAAACACCCTGGAACAAACTTTGTAGTAGGACCTATGGTTTTTACCATGCTCTTGTATGGAAGCACAACTTGGTCTCCTTTATGCTAATGCTTCTGGAGTCTTCAAACCCCAGAAAATATGTGTGACATACTGGTTGTGCATTTTAAACCAAAATAATTTCAGAATTTGGTCTCTCTCATGCTAAGGTTGCTAAAGCCTTCAATCTCCAGAAAGTATGCAGGAGGTACTAGTCATGCATTTTAAACTACAGTAATTTGATAAAGGGTTTGAATTCCTAAGGGAAAAGATGAACTTTTCACTCTACCTTTTAATCTCAAGGCAAATGGGCAGGGCAGGAGACAGTTTGACATGTACAAGCAGATAGTTTTTGGAGCCAAACAGACTTTGTTCAAATCCTGATTCATTAACTTTTTAGTTCTATGCTCATTAGAGTTGTTAGTAATAATTCTAATAGTAATACTAACACTTATATGTGTTTACCACATCACATACTGTTTTATGTGCTTTATATACAGTGACTTAATCTTAAGAAAAATAAAACCCACAAGGAAGACACTACTATCATATTTTCCAGTGAAGGAAACTGAGGCACAGAAAGGTTTAGTAACTGGTACAAGCTAGGTAACAGTAAAGCCAGGACTCAAACCCAGGAAGTGTAGCTCTAAACCCATGTAGTCTGTCTCCAGATACCTATGCCTATATCCACTGCATTTCCCTGCCCCCATGTACTTCAGGAGCACATCATTGGACTCTCAGAATCCGAGCTTCCTTGTCTGTAAAAGTGGGTCTAATGAGGCTGAACTCAGTGAGGCCTGAAGAAGACAATGTAAATTGAACCCCAGACACCAAAGGGGCACCCATACTAGGTCAAGTGCCTTTAATTTCCAACTTGCTCATAAGGTGTTATCAGAATTCTAGGTAAATTCTAATAAAATTCTAATAAAAGTCAGAATCTAGAGGGCCTATGGACAACAAACATAATGGCTGGAATGGACAATTTAGAGGTCTTAAAATTTGAGTTTCCCAAACTCACATTGATTCAGAAGGCAGTCTCTGAAGTCAACTATCTCAACACTTCTAAATAAACTGCGGTTTTTACTGACAGAAGTCCACCAACAGGTAATGACCAGCAGAAGTAAGAGTCCAAAGCTTGGAGAACCCAGAGTGAGACCAATTGTTTAGAGCTGGAGGGGCCAGTTAGAAAAGTCCTTGAAACATGATCAGAACATTTCCAGGAAGAGACGAGGAAAGGCCAATGTTGTGAAAGGAATGTGCATGATCTAAGGCACTGAGACATAACTCCCTTCACACAGGGTTAGCGAAGGGGGAGTGGGCTCTGAACAACAGCAAGAGTGAAGGAGGCCTGGGAGGTGGAAGAAGCTCTGGCAGGCCTTGAATGTCACATGACGGACCGCAGGCTTGACTCTGTGTGCCACAGAAGTCATCAGGGGTTTTTTAAAGGAAAGGACATCCTCGGACCTGTGCTTTAGCAAGACAATTTGTGTAGTGTTGTGTGTAGATTAAAGTGAAGAGCACAGGTATGAGGGAGACCGATTTTGAGGGAGACGGTATAAGGGAACATTTGATTTTCTCTTTCACCGATATAATGAAATATACACCAAAATACACCAACATATTAAAATCTTAAGAGAGAAGGGCCAAAAGTTGTCACTGGACTAAAAATAGAAATATGTGATTACAACCACTAAGGAAGACCAAGCTAAAAAACTGTAGTTGTTAACAAACTGCCACATAAAATTTCAGATGTGCGAAGAAAGGCAACTGTAGAATTACGCACATATTTCCACCAGATAATGGAATCTGGACAAAGTACGTGAAGTAAGCAGAGAAGTAAACAAAATGTTCAAAGCTCAAGAAGTGCCTTTACTTTTCACCAAGAAGGGCCAACGTTGTTTTCTCTGAAATCAGCTTTCATATGCCCTTGAAGAGAAGCTGATAGAGTGTTGTGGAAAACTCGACTTCTGAAATCACGATGAAAACTGCAACTCAACCCGAGCAATCTGGTACTCTGTGAGAGCGACAAGTTCCTGAACTTTTGACTCACACACCCAAAAAAGTGGAGTGAAAGAATGTTTCAGAAGAGTCAAGTGAGAGCAGTAGAAAAGAGCATGCCACTTCCCCACCAGCCACATTTGACCTGAGGGGATGGGCGCTGGGAGATTGAATGTGGTTGTCCACACTGGCCAGTGATCCTCCCACAGAATCCCAAACTAAACACCATTTCTTCAAGGTCCCCCTCCTTTTAAGTTGTAGGTCCCCTATTAAACATCTTTCCCCATATTCATCATCCTCAATACTTGTATGGGTAATTAGTCTAAGTGTTTTTTCTCAAACATGGCCTTTTAACTCATCTTTAAATATTTTATATATGCATACCTTATTTCCTCAATTCAACTGCAAACATTTTTAAGATGGGAATATTTGGGTATCTTTCTGTAATTTTATCATCATGGCTTACATGGCATGTAAAAATTAAAAACAACAAAACAACAGTCACAATAATAGCTAAGACCTTTTGAATGCTAACCATGTGCTCAGCATTGTTGCTAGAGCTGCACATGTATTAACTCATTTAATTACATTAACTCATTACAACAAGTACATGAGGTAGCTACTGTCACCGCCCCCAGTTTACACCTGAAAAAAACTGAGGCACGGGAAGGTTAGTTATGTTTACCACACTCATATAGCCAGTAAGTGTATGATCTCACATAGTCTGACATCAGAACCGTGCTCTAATGTACCCTTCAATATTTTTTTCCTTGAATTCAAATTCCAAAAGGAAAACAGAAAAAAAATGAAAATCAGAGGCCCTCGTTAGGAACTACAGACAAGATTGGATCAGG